AAAAAAACCAAACAAAAAACCCCCTACCTATTAAAAGCTTATTTTAATTAAAATGAACTTATACCTAAGTATTAAAAAAACCCATGGCTTTTACTTACCTTGCAGTAAAAGCCACAAACAACTTTTCTTCTTTTTCTTCGCTATTACTTTCACATAGTGCAGTAAAAGCCACAAACAACTTTTCTTCGCTATTACTTTCACATACACACATCTTCCTAGCTAGTTTATTCAGCTTTTCGTTCAACATTTTCTATCACCACTTATTACATAAATATTAAAACATACATTACAAAGACTTAAAATCCTTCAAACGTACAAACCATTATTTTTTTTTCTTCCGTAACTCCTTTACCTAAGAAACCAACCCCCCTTCTCTCCTGCTTTTTAACTTGTGTTCTGACCCTCCCTGTGTAATCTCCTATTATCACACCTGTGATGCGTAGATAAGCTTTACTTGCCAACTTTCCAATCTCACAGCTGGGAAATTAAAGCACGGTGTTTCATTGGCAGGTTTTTCAGAGGAAACAGAATAAAACCCAGCATTCTTGATTGATTTTATTTGTTTGTTTCTGTTAGAAGGGGACTGGGTTCTGAAGGTAATGACAGGTTATTGTTTATTTATGGTGTTTCTGTGTTTTATTAGACTAGTTTGTAATATGTTTTAGTTGAGGGGGTGTTTTCCTTCCTGGGAAAGTTCTGTTAGGGCTTTGCTTGAAAACAAAAGCCTTGTATTAGAAAAATATTTAAAGCTTTTGGTGTTAATGAAAGTAAAGCCTTGTGGGTTTTGACCTGGTTTGTCTTCTGCTATAAAATCAATAGTACAATGTAAGTAGCTTATGTTGTGCTGAGTTCTTGGCTATTGTAACAACAATATAAAGTTAATGAAGACTAAAAATGCTGTTTCTGTGTATGAGGAGCTCTTTATTTTTTTTATTCCTCAAAGTATAAATGCAGAGTATAGTTATAAGCTTATATAGAAAATAAGACCATCCAGAGAAATAGTAAGGATATATTCCTATAAAACAAATGTAAAAATAAATGTTGGAGTAACAAGCTGTGTGGACTGAGGCACTTCAAACCAGCTAGAGCTTTAAAGAGCTTTTTGGTTGGTGGTTTGTTTTCTCAGATATGTGTACTGACACTGTGAGTGCTAAGGCTTGTTGAAGTGAGATTTTTTTTTTTTACTAATACTAAATGACTAATAGTGCTTTTATGATTAATTATTGAAGCTGACTTGAGAGATGAGAGCTTCTTAAACAACAACTGGTTTCTAAGTTGATATCTGAGTCCTCATGTAGTGTAAAGCACCCTTTCCACCAGTGGCTTCTTGTGAGAAGAAATCTGTGTGAAGGGCTTTATTTTCTACCCTAATATTACTTGTTGTCTGTTTTGAGTTTTCTTGTTCAGAGGCTGGTTTGTTTGTGTGGTTGGCTTTTCCTTTGTCAGAGTATTTTTTGTGCTTTTTTACAGTTGCAAAGCCAAAAGCTGAACAGAACATGATTTTGCTCAAGAGATTCAAAGTCCTCATCTGGCTCTCCTGGTGGATGAACCCTGTTCTTCTACTGGCTGTGTCAGTAAGCTGCTTAAATAATTTAAACTGTGTAAAGGTAAGTTTGTATTGGGAGTTTCAGAGAACAGACTTTATTGAAGAATCAACACAAGAGGGTAGCTGAGTAGCAATAGTTTGTGTTACTGCTATGTAATAACAGTTCTGAAAGAAAATATGGCTTCTGGATACATTGTGGGTCATGGGGGTGTTAGAGCTGCTGTTGCTGGGCATATGCAGCACTACGTAGTGTTGAGAAGATAGTGTGCAGCTCTGAAGCAGTGGGGGGCAGCTACATCTCAAGGAGCTCTTTCGCCTTGCTCTTCCTGCTCCAGGGAAACAAATAACCTGATAAAAAAAAAAATTAGTAGGGTTTAGAGAAAGGATCCCCCTACATGCTTCTACCAGTGGAGGTGCAGGAATAAGCTAACAAGTGCTGGGCAGGCTCTTGGGGCATGCAGATTTAAGAGACCATGTTTTCCTGAAAGGGGTTACTCATGCAAATGTGAAGGGGGCTGAAACTGAGACTGCACCAGGGAAGACCACCAAAAAGCTGGTCTGTGGCCCATGAGGATTTCTACAAATGTTTGTATACAGCTATTTTAATCTGAACCTACCGCTGACTTAAAAGTCAGGGCCTGTCAACAGCAGTGTAGGAACCCTGAAAACCTAACTCAGTTTATAAAGGTTTTTAATGAAACTTTTTTCCTTAATGCTTATGATATCAAACATCAGTTTCTCTATTTCACTGTTCTCCCTGCTGAGAAGTGCATGATAAATGTCTCCCATGCTGTGCTAGTGTTGTATAGGAACAGGTGAAAGCATTCACAAGCCTACTAAGAAGAATTTGCTCCTTCTGGAAAAATAATGTGCTGCAGATAGGATGTATTCCCCCAAATGCAATCAGCAGAGGTCTTGAGAGGATGTGCTGGTGTGAATGGCATGGGTGTCCTTATATGTACTTACACCAGCCCTTGCTAGCCTCTCACTGAAACTATTATGCAAACAAGTGAGATACCCTTGCCATAATAGGTATGAACCACCAGAGGGAGAATCCCCACTGAACCCCAAAGCATAACTTGCTCTTGAGGAGCTTCCTGAAGGGGCTGAATGCAATGTGAGAAGAAGCTGCGGAGTGGCTTGTCTGAGATGATAAAGAGGAGATTTTGCATGCATGGCCTCCTCTTTCATTCTTCCCATCCCCCTCCTCCTCTGTGTATTACAGTGGAGGCTGGGCAGCGAGTGCAGGGTGACACCACTTCTGTCTTGGTTTCTGATGCATTGATTCTATTAAAGCAAAGCAGCATGCTGGGTATTTACAGCATAGCTTGGGACATCTTCTGTCAGACTTGTAATGCAGAGAGACAAGCTCAGTGCTGCTTGGCTTCTGGAGAGCGGGGGAAGGGATTAAATGCACTTTTCTCCATTGATTTATGTCCTGCACTGAAAATCAATGATGTTCTCTCAAATCCACTCAACTGTTTGAAAACCAGCAGCTTGTTTGGTCAAGTGTGTGGTGAAAAGTTCTGAAGGAATTGGCTCTTATGATATGGATAGATACAGCTGCTCTGAAGGAACTGTTATATTCACCTAATGGTTGCTTTTGTATCATCAGTGATACTGAAGCTGAATATGCTGTTTAAAACATTTTCTCACTGTTACAGAGGGAACAGCTGTTTTGGAGAGGAGGAGCCAAATGCTGCTTTTGTTTCCATCTGAGGCTGGGAGGGGCAAATGAAACTTTAATGAAACAGGATGCAGAAGGATAATTTTTATCCATGTTATTTCTCCCTGATGGGATCTACCTGAATTGAGGGTCTGATTTTGTCCAGGGTAGCAGTGTTTATTGTCTTCTAATAAATACTTGAAAAGTTTGTACTGTAATGAAGAGCTAAGGTACTGAATTCCTGTAGAGCCTCTAAGCATAGTGCCCCTCATTGTGGACTTCACAAAGGTAGCTGTATTTGTTTTCATCCCTGAAGAGGGAGAGCAGCATACTATCTCTGATTTTACAAGGGAGGTATATAGAAACTGCATGTAGATGGGGTTACACAGGGAGCTAATGAGAGCTTGAAACTGAAGTCTCAAACCACAGGCTGCCTTGCATATGGCCTGCTCTTTCTCTTAGGTCTTAAAAATACCTTCATAAGTGTTCCTAAGGGAAGGGATTTTTTGTTCTGTCTTCCAAAGCTTTCCTTCGGCCCCAAGTTGCACAAGATGGGTAAATTTGTTTGATTTGCAATCAGCTGTGTATGATGGATATTTATTTGTGAATATACCTATTTTTTAGGAAAAAATGCAGTTGCTGCTTATGTAGATGCACCTTAGCAGACTTAGACTAACTAGCTGGGGTCCTGGTATCTGTATAGCTGTGGCAACACCCAGGTCAGCACAGGATAGCCACCCAAATGCTTACTCTGCTTCTTGAATGGTTCTACAGCCACTGTAGAGTTTCAGGTAGCCAGTGTTACTCTTCTGTTGATACCCAAGTAGGCTAGCTGAAAGTACTTTGCTTTTCTGAAAAGCAGATGCATCCTAGGGCATATGGATGTAAAGTTGCAAGCATGACCTGTATATGTGTAAAGTGCAATAGATCAGAACAGCTGTGTCTATGCACACATGTAAAACATCGCTGTTTCCATGGCCTTGCTGTGAGCAGCAAGATTTATACCTTTTTTTAGTAAAGAATAAAAAAAGTTCTGTTCTGGGTGGTTCAGCTCAGATGGTCAAAGTCATCTTCTGTGAACTCTACTCCCTACCACATTTGATCCTTCTTACAGAAATTGAGGGGTTTGTCTTCACTACTGTGATGGCAGAAATGGAATGGAGTATCTGAGCTAGTTTTTAAAACCTGCTAACTGCACTAGGGTGAAACTGAAGATGAGCTGTAAAGGTGTCTTGGGCTGGCTTAAAATGACCTTTAGAAGTGAGTTAAGTTGCATCCCACAGCAGTCACTAAATGTAGACAACCAGCGTCTGCTTGATTTGGCTTTTTCTCTTGTCAGTGAAGCACAGATAAAATGCATAATTAAATCAATTTTTAGGAATTTTTTTTGCTCCTAGAAACGGAAAAAAAAATGAAGCAAATGGAGAAAGTCTTACTGGAAGACTAAAAGCTCTAATTCTGCAATTTATTAGCTACAAAAGAGAATAAAGATAATGTTTATGTGTGAGTGTGTTTATCATTCTGAAGAGCGTGTGTGCTTTTTTCTGAGAGTGTCTCTCTAGCCCTTGAGTGATGAATCTGATTTTTTTTCCATGCTGGATTTTTACTGCCTCCAAACTTAACTGTTTTGACACTAGAGAAATCCTCTTGTTTCGCCTCCAAAGGTAAATATATATATTATTGCTAGAAATTAGCTCTACCTCACCCACATGACTAGTCTTCACTATTAATCCCAGCTGATGGTAGGGAGGGGCTCTTCTGGGAGGCAGCCATGTGGTGAACATTGAGCACTGCTTCTCTCCTTTTCTTTTCAGTCAAGCAAAATTGTTCTATGCTGCCGTAGATGTGAACTCCTTGCTGCACTGCCTCTGTCTCTTCTTTTCCAGAAACTTAAGGGCCTGAATTACCAGCTGCAGAGATCTAAAAGCTCTCACTGAATCTGGATGGAATATGGACAAGGAGATGAATAGCAGAAGGGAAGAAAGAGTAAAGTTGGTTATTTTTCTGGCACATGGATGCAATTACACTCAGTGCATTCCAGAGGCGTTCCTTTGAATCCTGTGCAGGTCTGCCTGCTGTTCCTGGGAGAAAGGAAGAAAAAGGGAGGAAAAGTCTCTCTTGCTTGGAGACGGAATGTCTGCACTTTCAATTCTCTTTTTAGGTAGGTTGGCTTTTTGGTTTTGTTTAGCGTTTTTAATCAAACTTCATGCACCCTCTCTGCACGACTGAAATTCATTTCTGATGAGCTAGTGAAAGGGATTTGTAAAGAAACTTTTATGGAAAACTCCAATTTCAGTGTCGTTTGGGTTCTGATGCTTTTCTTGTTGCTTTATTAGCAGATTGATAGCCAGAGATATTTTAATATCTGGATTAATTTTTTAGAAGTGCTGGTTAAACAGACTCCTTTTGGAATGTATGTTTCTTGTTTAAAGAGGGCAGTGCTTTTAAGCACTGAACTACTGAGGGGCTTGAACCTCTGGCAAAACAAGGTGAACAAAATGTCTTTGTTTCGGGCATAGTGTCAAATTTGTTTAACTCTGTTTTGATTTGCTTGGGCATTTAACATTCAGATTTTAAAATAAAGAGGCATTATTGTTTCCAATTGATGCCTAAGATTAGAAACAGATGTGTTGAAGTGCAAGAGGGAGGAGTTGGGGGGGGAAAAGGATGGGAGAAGGGAGATAAAGGGGGAAGGCAAGAAACAGGAAGAAAGAGGACTGCTGAAAGAAGGGGTAGAGGTTGACTGTTGAATAGGAGAGGAGTGGAGAGTGGGAAAGGAGATGTTAAAGGAAGTGGAGAGTGAAGGCAGAAGGGCTGAAGAGAGCTGTTTGTTAAAGCCATAGCCTATGGAGAAAAGAGTTTGCAGCCCTAAGGTCTTTGAGGGGGCTTGCCTACAAGACTGACTCAGAAGCAGCCTGGGTTTCTGCATCTCCAGAGGCACCGTAATGTGATGAGTGAGCTTCTGTCTCCATTTTGCTCACCAGATCGTGCTGACAGGCAGACAGCTCTGAAATCTGTTATGGTTGGGCAAAGGCTGTGATTCCTGGGTCCTCCTGTCCTCTGGGAATCTGGGTACAGGTGTGAAAGTGACTTGGTTTTTGATTCCCTGGCAAGAGTTGAGCCCCACAGGGTGGTGGACTGATGTGGCTGGGTACAGGTAGAATCGAGGTTTTTGGACAGCTATAAAGAAATGTTGCAGGGGACAACCCTGTTCCTTAAGTCTCACAGGTGTGGAACATGGACTAGCCAGATTTGTTAGATATCTGAAAGACAGGCACTTGTCTACACTTGTAGAGTTGCTGAATAAATTGTAGAAAAGGTTTTTGCTCTAGCAATTGCTGTTAGCAAAGGTGGTAGAATCTGCAGGGGAGTGCAGGCAGCAGTTTGTCCCCTGTGCACATCTGCCTTGGCCATTTGTGTCTCAGTATGGTGGAGATAGTGTTTAAAGAAGGCTTCAGGAGATGAGGCAGCAAGGTTAGGATGAACAGCTAGGCTTCTGCCAGAGGTGCCTGGGCTGGGTTAGCCTTGCAGAAATGGCCAGGAAAGCTGCTCTGTGGAAATTAGGAGACAAAATTGGGAAATTAGGTAGGTTGCTTACCTCACTGATGGAGACAAATGGGAACTACAGTCTTCAATCCACCAACCCTATTCAGCTGCTGAATATTCCTGTATGTTGAAGGCTTGGAGTAAAAGGAATATGCCAGAGAAAGGGTGCTCTTGGCTGTAATGTAATGACAATTTACCTTTGCATGACTAGTGCTGCTTTTATCTATAAAATGCAATAGGCTTTATCATCGTTATTCTTATGTCTTTTAGCATCTAGGCATCTCCACTATGCTAGTAACACATAAACACAAAAGACAGTCCCTGCCCTCAACAACTTATGCCCTCACCCATGAGTTGAGTTTCTCAGCCCCTCTGTGGGAGTAGTCCAAGCACTGGTGAGGGGAGGGTGAGTGGCTTCCCAAAGCTCACAGCAAAACCTGGAATGTTTTGTTTCCTGGTACTACATTAGTCATTGAACTGCCCTTTGTCTTGCCTGTGCTTTACCTGTCTTGTCAACAGGTAACTTAGTCTTTCTGCTCTGCATCCAGCTTCATTCACCAATATTAGAAGTGTGTTCCAGGGAAAAGTAAGTATTGTAGTTCCCTGTTCATAGATCGTCCTGAAAACAAGAAGGCTGGGGAGGTCTCATTTGCTAGCTAGAGAAAGTCTAATTTTCTGCAGTGAAAAGGTATAGAAATGCCAATGATAGCTTAGCTTTCTTGCTGATAAAGTGAAAGACTAGTGTGGAAAAAAGAGTTTAGAGAAGCCAAGCAAACTTGAAATGAAGGTTGCCTGGTTTTGGGTTTTCATTATTAAACATGCTAATATCATGACTAATATATACAGTCCTTGTCTTTTATGCTGTTTACCTCTCTGAGGCAAGTGAACAGCTGTGTGAGGAGACAGGAAACAGGAGCCAATTAGTTTTAAGGAGACTTAAAACAAGACAAGATGCAAGACTTTCCTAAGTGTGGGCAAGGGTGTGATCATGCTTACTTCCCTAATAATGGCTAGGTAAATGAAGCAGGAAGGAGTGAGGAGTGGAAGGTGATGCATGCTAATGTGTGTGCCTACATGTAAGTGTTTGGAACATCTGATTGCCATCTCAGTCCACAGCTGGTCAAAATTGTTTCAAACTCCTTGTGTAATACACTGCACTCTTAAAAATAAAAATGGAAATTTCCAAGGGAAATATCTGTGATTCTCCACTTCTGAGTGTAAAAACTTCATAATACAATGTTGTGTTTCTCAGCCAGTAAAAAAACTAGCAAATGCTCTGATTTAAATATTTTGCTGAATTGGCTTAATTTTTCAGGTGCTGGAAGTCTCCTTTGCCTTCTTTCACTCCCTCCAAGTCAATTTTGAGTATTTTTAATGAGCCTTCCATTAAAGTAAAAAGCTAACTTCCTTGTAATCAAATATGTTCACATGGGTAATGCTTGTATGCCTGGCTTTGATGCTGGTATTACATGGTTTTTCTTCACTTGTTGGCTAGTGTATGTGCTCTGCCCTTCAGAAGAACCAATGGGTTCAAGATCCAAAGCAGTAGATGTGCCAAGCCAAATCAGTCATCCAGCTTTCTGGTGTCCTGCTATTGGCAATGAACCTTTGCATTAGTGTTAGGGGCTGCTTACCACAATGCATATTTAGTCTGGCTTATGAGTGACAAAGATGTGTTCAGTGTGTTGGAATCTATGTTATACAGGGGTGATGTTGCTAGAGTGGGTGCAGCTGTAATAGCAAAAGTACCTTTTGTACTGATGTAGCTGAGCTCTGCCCTTTAAGCTCTGAGGTCAGTGACTCTCTTACAGCTCTGTCCCAGGGGTATACAGCTGCTGCATTGAACACCAAGACTTTTGATTGTCTCACTGCACTGGGAAAAAGGTTATGGTGCAGATCCTTCCAGTGCCTGTTGGCATGAGCAATTGGGTCTGACAGCATGTGTTTGCCTAGGTATTCACCAGACTTCTAGCTTGAAAAATCTGTGATATGGAAGCAGCTCTGCAGCATTCAGCAGTGGTAGGTCAGCCTGGGGCTGTGCTCTAGTATACTGACTCTGGCTTTCTCTCCTGCTTTAAGAGCACTGGCAACCTGCAGTGTGCCCTATCGCATCTCCTTGAGGTCCTTCTCCTGAAACCCTTGCAATGCTACACTCCAGCAAAGCCAAGAACCACTGCAATGTTTTAAAAAAAAGCACTCTTGCTCCCCATGAGGTTACTGGAAGTTTTATGTTTTAATGGACTGCTTCTGCCTGGAACTAGTAAAAAGCAAGGGAGACTGTTTTAAGCAACCTGAAAACTAAGCTGACTGATCTTATATTTCTGCTGATTTTCCAGGTATTTCCCAAATTTCTCAGTGATATCTAACAGTATATAATACACTTGCTATTTCCTAGTTTTCTCATGGTTCCTTCTCTGTTGCCTTTGCCCGTTTGTTTCATGGTGTATTTAGAAGCTTGATGAGACAAGGATTTTGCCCCATGTTTTTACAGCACTTAAAAACAAAGCCTTGGCTCGGGAGTGGAGTACAAAAAGAAAAATCTGTAGCTGTGAAAAGGGATTTTTTTGTGATTTTGCTGTGTGGATTTCACCTTCTCTTTGTGTCATCGGATTCCGAAGGAGTGCAGGTAACTTCTTGGTGTATTTAGCTCAAGACTATTATCCCAAGGACAGCTTTGTATAATTGATAATTGACAACTCATTTATGTCATGAAAACTCCAAAAGCAGTCAACAAGACATCTGTATGCAGGATTCAGCCTGTTTACAGTAGTGTGAATTTAGTTTTAGAACAGGGCAAAGAGCTCTTTAATAGAACCCTATTCTAGGAATACCTAAGGAAAGGAAGTGAAGAAAAGCAGTGTATCCATTTGGCACTCTGGGGGGAATTCAAAGGTGCTAGACATAATTGACTTCCTATCTGGAAGGATATCAGGGTTAACACTGCTTGTGAGACACTGAAATTCTTCTAAAGTCAGGGATGGTTTGCATCAAATATTTTCTGTCAAGGCACTTTGAGAAATGGCCTATTTTTCTCTACTAGTGCTTTGTTTTATATGAAATAGTTTGGATTATTAGCATCTAAAAAAAAAAATGTTTATTTGGGGGGTTATTTTTATCCTTGTTTTTTCCATTTTACTATGAGGAAGAAAAGGAGAAAAAAGGTAACCTTCCAGAGTGAGGAAAAGCAGTATGCCAAAGTTGAGTTGAAATTCTGAAGATGAATTCATTTTTATGGGAAATAGAGTGGGGGGGGACGACGATGACACATTCAACTTTTCTGAATTTCCTATGGAAAACTACTGGTGTTTTTGCCTCTGTACCCACCCTGGACCTTGTCTCCTCCATGTAGAATTAATGGTCTGTTTCTGTGGGGTACTCTGGCCCACTTCAGAAGGGCACTGTGTAAGAGCAGCACAAGCTTCCCAGAAATGTCATTGCACAACTGGCTGGGAAATATCCTGATGTTTATCCTCAGGATCACAACAAATGCCCCTGTTTTCCTCAAGGCAAATACAGGGCTTTAAAGGGAACTTAGCAGGTTTGCAATCTGGGATTTGTTTGAGTTTTCAGGAACTTCCTGAAAAGAAATGTAAACAGTCACTCTGACAAAGCCTT